ACAGCGGGATAACACTGGGATACAGCGGGATAGGGGCAGGGATATAACAGGATAGCACCGGGATAGGGACAGGGATGCACCGGGATACAGCGGGGTAGGAACAGGAATACAACAGGATAGCAACGGGACATGGCGGGATAACACCGGGATACAGCGGGATAACACCAGAATAGGGACAGGGATACAGCAGGATAACATCAGGATACAGTGGGATAACACCGGGATACAGTGGGATAACACCGGGATAGGGACAGGGATACAGTGGGATAACACCAGGATACAGCAGGATAGGGACAGGGATACAGTGAGATAGCACCAGGATACAGTGGGATAGAGTGGGATACCACTGGGATAGGGACAGGGATACAGCAAGGTACAGCGATACAGTGGGATAGGGATGCACAGGGATACAGTGGGATATACCAGGATAGAGTAGGATAGGGATACAATGGGATAGCACCAGGATAACACCGGGATAGGGACAGAGATGCAGAGGGATAGCACTGGGATAGCGACAGGGAAATTGCAGGATAACACTGGGATAGAGTGGGATAGAACTGGGATAGAGCCCCAGATACACTGAGGTACAGTGAGGTACAGTGGGATAGGGATACACAGGGACACAGTGGGATAGGGACCACCAGAGGGTATAGCAGGACACGTTGGAGCGCAGTGGGATACAGCAGAATACACCAGAATCCACTGGGATATACTGGGACAGGAACACACCAGGATCCACCCACTGGGACCCTCCAGGACCCTCCGCCAGCCCCAGCACTGCCAGTTTGGGAGTGACCAGGACCATCTGCAGTGAGGCATTCCCACCCTTCCGGCTCCGAGCGCTGCCATCCATCCCACAGGTGCCCACGGAGCAGTGCCAGGGGGTCCCTCGGGTGGGTCAGGCTGAGCCCAGGGCCCCGGGGCAGTGTGGCCATGCAGCCCCTGGCACTGTGGGACGAGGTGGCCGTGCTGGCCGGGGCAGTGGTGCTGGTGCTGGCACTGGTGCTCGCTTGGCTCTCCACCTATGTGGGTGATGGCAGCTCTGAGCTCCTGGGCACGGGGGACACTGCTGTCATCCACCTCGGTGCCCTCCCACCCTTCGTGGGGGCTGCGGGGGGTGCCGAGGCCCCCGAGCCTCCCGGGATAACGGAGAACACGGAGGAGAAAGAGGAGGAAGAGGGAGCGGCGGCGCAGGGAGAGAGTGGGAACGTGGCTGATCCCAGCCTGGAGCTGGATGTGCAGAGCTTGTCTGAGCCCTGTGCCATGGGGGAGGTGTCTGCCCCGGGAGAGGGAGAGCTGTGCCCTGGACTCATGAAGATCCGACTCAAGTTCCTCAATGACACGGAGGAGGTGGCACTGGCATGGCCCGAGGACACCGTGGGGATCCTCAAGAGGTGAGTGCCCAGGGGGAGAGGCTGCCAGCACACCCCAGCATGGGTTGTGTCCCCCCAGTGCAAACAGCAGAACAGGGAGGAGTTTATCCCT